ACACCTTAGTAATTGGACTAATCTAATTCAACAGTAAAGATCTCTCTGGAACTGCCTCAAACCTCAAAAACAAGTCTCAAAATCATCACACTGATTCACTAGCTCATTAACAAGTAAACCAAAATACAAAAGTCTTCAAAAAAAGACAACGAAATTCAGACATTGAAAAACATATATTTACAGTGTCCATCATTTCGTTAAAAATTACTAGACACATGAAAAAGAAAAAAAAAATCTCCCTAAAATCAGAAGAATAATTAGTCATTAGAAACAGACCCAAAAATGAAAGATGCTAGACTTAGCAAACAAGGATGTAAAAACAGTTATTATACATACACTCAAAGATTTAAAGAAAAACGTGAACATATTGAGACATAGAAGAGATAAAAATAATCAAATTTTTAGAAACGAAAAATACAGTATCTGTAATTTTAAATTTTTAGATGAGTTTAATAACTGATTGCAAACTGCAGAAGAATGATCCATGAATGTGAAGATATAGCAAAATGAACAAAGCCTTAGAGACACGTCGTGAAACAATATCGAACAGCCTATTATGTTTATAATTGAAGTTCGAGAAAAAAGGGCAGAAAAAATATTTGAAGAAAAGAGGTGAAACACAAATATACTGTTTTAAGGTCCTTACATTATATATCTGAGATTGACACACTTTTTCTATGAAAGGCCAGATAGCTGATATTTTAGGCATTGTTGGCTAGTGGTCTCTGCTGCAACTACTCAACTCTGCCACTGCAGCACAAAAATATGCCATAAACAATATGTAAATGAAGGGCAGTGGTTGTGTTACAATAAAACTTTATTTATAAAAGCAGACGATGGTCCAGATTTGGCCTGAAAGCTGTAGTTTGCCAACTCCTGCTATATATGAAGTGGTACAATATATGATGAATAATAAATGAAATGCATATTGTAATAGGGGAAAATGCATACTGTGAACCCCCCTAGAGCAACCACTAAATATAAAACTAAGAGATTAAACTAATAAGCCAATAGCACAAATACAATAGAATACTAAAAATTACTCAATATTATTTTATTGAGAGAGAATAAGGAAAAGTGAGGAAGTGGTAAGAAAAGGAACAAAAACAAATAGTATAAATAGAAAATTAATAGCAAGATGGTATACTTAAATCCAAATATATATATATATATATATATATATATATATATATATATATAATCTTCACCCAAGGATATGTTTACTGATTTTCAAGAGAGAAGAAGGGAGAGAGAGAGAGAAACACTGACGTGAGATACAAACATTGATTGGGTGTCTCCTGTACATGCCCCAACCAGGGATCAAACCTGCAACCTGGATATGTACCCTGACCATACCCACAACCTTTTGGTGCACAGATGATGCTCCAAGCAACTAAGCCATCCAGCTAGGGCTAAATCCAAATATACTGATCATTTTCATAATTGTGAAAAGTCTGAATTCCATTTAAAATGAAGGGCAGTGGTTGTGTTACAATAAAACTTTATTTATAAAAGCAGACGATGATAAAAAAGGAAGACTCAAATATATGCTGTCTGCAAGAAATACACTTTAAGTATAAAGATACAAAAATGTTAAAAGCAAATAGATGTTAAAAAGTACAGCATTAGGCCCTGGCCAGGGGGCTCAGTTGGTTTGATCCCAAGTTAGGGCACATGCCTAGGTGGAGAGTTTGATCCCTGGTCAGGGTATGTATGGGAGGCAGCTGATTGGTGTTTCTCTCTCATATTGATGTCTCTCTCTTTCAAATCAATAAATATATCCTTGGGTGAAGATTTAAAATCTTTTTTATTTTTTAATTATGTTTTATTCTTAAGATTATTTATTTATTTTTAGAGACGGGGGAGGGAAAGAAACATCAATGTGTGAGAGAGACATTGATTGGTTGCCTCTCACATGCCCCCAACCAGGGACCTGGCCTGCAACCCAGGCATGTGGGAATCAAACCCGTGACTTTGCTTTTCAGGACGATGACCAACCAACTGAGCCATACTGGTCAGGGCCATATATATGTGCATGCATGCATGCGTGTGTGTGTGTGTGTGTGTGTGTGTGTATATCTTTTTTTAAGTATAACATGAAAAGAGCTGGAATGGTTATGTTAAATATCAGACAAAGTAATGCCAGTTATAAAGATATTTTATAATGATAAAAGGATTAATTCATCAAGAAATTATAACAGCCGTAAGTACCTATGCACCTAATAACAGAACTTCAAAATACATAAATCAAAAACTGGCACATACCATGTATAGAGCTTACAGGACTGGAAGTTGCTCTGGATGAGTCAGTGAGTGAGTAGTGAGTGAATCTGACAACTTAAGACATTAATGTACACTACTGTAGACTTTATGAACACTGTAAATTTAGGCTACACTAAATTTTATAAAAGAATACAAGATTAAATCAAACACAAGAGAAAATGATACAATCACGAGACATAGTAGCCCTGGCTGGTGTGGCTCAGTTGGTTGGAGCGTCGTCCATAAACCAAAGGTTAAAGTTTCGATTCCTGGTCAGGGCACATACCCAGATAGAAGGTTAGATCTCTGGTTGGGGAGTGTATAAGAGACAACCAATCAATGTTTCTCTCTCGCATCAATGTTCCTCTCCCTCCCTTCCCTTCTCTCTAAAATCAATAAGCATGTCCTCTGGTGAGGATTAAAAAAGAAAAGACAGAGAGAAATGGTAAATACAAAATCTAAGAGGCTGCTGCCAGCATAGCACAGCATACTCTGACAGCAAATTTTATTTTTTTTTAACTAGAAAGAGTACACTCTAAAATAATTATAGACCTTGGCCGGGTAGCTCAGTTAGTGAGAGCATCATCCTAATACACCAAGGTTGTGGGTTCTATCCCCAGTCAGGGCACATACAAGAATCAACCAGTTAATGCATAACTAAGTGGAACAACAAATCAATGTGTTTCTCTCTCTCTCTCCCCCCCCCCTCTCTTTCTAAAATCAATAAACATATCCTTGGGCAAGAATTTTTTTAAACTTTTTTAAAAAGCAAGGGGGGGGGAGGGAGGGGGAGAGAGAGAGAGAGAGAGAGTATGTGTGTGTGTGTACATATTTACCCAAAAAAGTGGTTGCCAATTGGAGATGAAGTGGCATCTGGGAGACAAGAGAGAAGCATGGGAGACAAACTTTTTTTAAAAATTGTTTTAAACAGATTAGAGAGAGAGAAATATCAATTTGTCGCACCACTTATTGATGCATTCATTGATTGCATCTTGTATGTTCCCTGACCGGACATGGAACCAGCAACCCTGGCATATTGGAAGGATGTTCTAATCAACTGAGCTACCCAGCCAGGCAACCAATTTTACATTGTATACTTTTAAGTATTTTTTGAGTTTTGAATCATATTAATATATTCAAAAATAAAATTTTTTAAAGTTTGTCAAACAAGTGGGCAAAATTTTAACATTCAGTCTCACATTTAGCCAGATATAGGCTGTAAGAGAAGAATAAAATATGATGATATTCTGTATCTTTAAATCAAGATTCATGTGCTACATGAACAAGTGATAAGTTAATATTCCACTATGGAAACTCAAGAGGTTGGATTTCTTGGGAAAGAGAGAGAAAGAGAAAAAGAATACCAACCAAACTACTTCCAAGTGACAAAATAGCTACTCTATTCCAAGTGTTGGTCTGATTAATGGCCTGAGCCCAGTAATTACGGCAGGAATGGAAAGGATGGAAAGATGTAAAAGATTTGTATGGGAAATAAATCCATGGATCTTAATGGCTGATTGGCTGTGGAAGGTAAAGAGACACAGTGATTTTTTTAAAAAATTTATTTATTTATTTTAGAGAGAGGGGAAAGTAAGGAGAAAGAGGGAGAGAAACATCGATCAGATGTCTTACGTGTGCCCCAGCCAGGGACCAGGCGCACAACCTAGGATGTGCCCTGACCAAGAACTGGATCAGCAACCTTTCACTTTGTGGGATGACGCCCAACCAACTGAGCCACACCAGTAAGGGAGAGACACATGGATTTTTAAAACCTAGATGGTTAGTAGTATCCCTAACAGAAATTAGAAAGTCAGGAGAAAAAACCTGATTATGACCTTGGTTCTAAGTACACTGTGTTTGAGGAGAGTGGGAAATCAGGTAAAGTTGGCCAGAGGGCCGCTGAGAATGCTGATCGGAAGTCAGAGAAGAAGTCAGACCTGAAGACAGAGACGTGGGAGGTATCTGCGAAGAGATGAACGGGCTCAGAGGAAACAGGGGCTGAGGTGAGATCCTGGAGGACTGCCCGTGACTGTGCGGCAGGACAGGGGAGAGAAGCCAGTGCTGGCGACCATATTATAAGGAGAATCAGAGCCCTGTAATATGCTGGCCAAGGATGAGGAGTTTCAAGAAGCAGTGAAGGGGTCAATATGGCGAGAAATGACAGGGCCATGGGTAATAACAATAGTAGCGATATGCACTGTCTCCTTTAATCCTCACACACAACAACCTATCAGGCGGGTAGTATTATTATCCCTATTTTACAGAAAAGGGTATTAGCCCAGACAATGACTCCCAAGCTGCGGCCTGTAACTACTGAGTTATACTCCCTCACCAGTGAGGGCTGAGGGGCGGGGGTGGGAAGTGGGTGCTGGAAGATCAGTGCCGACAGCTGTGCTGCCACTGCGTTAGCTCTATGTCCACGGACAAGTAACTTCACCTCTCTAGGCTTATGTCCTTCCCTGCAAATTGAGGGGACTGATCTAGATAATCTCCAGCCCTAAGTAACATAAGTCTTCGATTAAGGTGGAATGGAAGACACAAGAGGCAATGGATTAAATATTTAGCAATACGCAAACAGCGAGACCTGGCCAAGGAGATCCAAATGTTAAATGTTTTATACACTGAATTTTCAAGCAATAAATCCATTCTCTGATACATAAAATCTACAACTGCAAAGTTATACTTTTTATCTATGTATTTAAGTTAGGTATAATATCAAGAATTAAAATTTTTCATACCTGGAAACTTACAAATGCTTCTCTTGAAACCCTGCTAAATCAATTGAATAGAGTAAAATAAGGGAAGATTTGAAGTCAGACACAGTCTCTGTATGAAGGATTGCCCTGTAGAGAGAAAATAATTATTTATAATGTATTCTTGTAATGAGACATAAAACGTCTGCTAAGATACATCATAAATATCGATTTAAATTACATGGGACCATCTATCAGATTTTTTTTTAGCATGTAAAAATAGATAATCTGGCACAGATTATTAGTGAATGGAAATTTATTTATTACCTGAACGTTATTATATCAACCTGTAAGTAGAGATTTCCAACATTAAGATATATTATGGCAAATTGAAAGCAAACATACTTTTTAACTTTGACAATAAAATAAACTTCTTACAAAAACATCTAGTCAAAAGCAGGCCAGCAGATGAAACACCAAGACAACAACATGTATCCTGTTATCCTTTTCCTGCAAGTGACATCCACAGGACTTGCAAGAAAACCAAACAGAACAGCATTAAAGATTCAACTTGAAAAAATCAACATTACTTAAAAACTGTATGGTTAAGAGAGAAGTTGGGCTGGGGGACGCGGCGCGGCGGAAATCCCACTGCTAAGGTTCAGAAAGCCCCACCGCAGTCACCCAGGTCCTTTATAACTCTATCTGATCTGCCAGATTGTACCAGAGTATACCACAATTTGTAACAGCAGCTGTAACGACTCTTGCTACAAAAAAGTTGCAGTTTCGCCCTGGCCTGTCGGGCTCACTGGACTTAGCGCCAACCTGTGAGCCAAAATGTTCGACTTCCGGTCTGGGTTGTGACCCAGGTCCCCAGTTGGAGGAGGGGAGAGGAAACCAATCGCTGATGTTCTCTCCCTCGCTTTCTCCCTCCTTTCCATCCTTTCTAAAAATAAATAAATTATATATACATATATATATATACACACATATATATATAAAGTTTCAGTTTCTACTATATTCCAAACCACTTTAATTACCACTTCCAACAACATAATCTGTTCCACTAGTTTCTTCAATGACCATTGAGTTTTGTTCATGTAGAGAGTGGTAACGCTTTATGCCCATAAGCAGTGGAAAAGTGAATTTGATGCTTTTTAAACCAACCAGTTAAGCTAAGAATAGATTGACAGCTGTCAGAGGTGAAGGGAGTTGGAGGGCAGGGTAAAAAAGGTGAGGAAAAAAACTCATAGACACAGGCAACAGCATGGTGATTACTAGAGGGAAAAGGAGGTGGGGGGGGGAGGAAGAATAGGGTAAACGGAGGGGAGGAAATGGTGATGAAAGGAGACTCGACTTGAGGTAGTGAACACATAATACAATATATAGATGCTATATTATAGAACTTTACACTGACACCTATGTAATTTTTTAATCAATTGTCACCCCAATACATTTACAATTTAAAAGACATTTTTTGAGCATGAACCAATAGAGAAAATAGCCAAGACGATCTGAGTATTCCATAAGATGTAATGTGATTACTTCTTATGACATTTTTTTCTTAAAGTCTCTTGGTCTCTAGAGTTGGCAAGAATGAGAGAAATCAAAAATAATCTAAATAAGGGGACTAGAGCAAGCCGAGAGGAAAGGTGATGGAAGTAGGAAGCTGCATTGACAGTGGATTATCAACATTTTTTAAGTGTCACATTAAAGGACAGTAAAGAACCATGGCCAGTGTGGCTCAGTTGGTTGGAGCATCATCCCGTAACCAAAAGGTTGTGGGTTTGATCCCCGGCTCAGGCATGTATGGGAGGCAATAAATCAATGCTGCTCTCTCACATTGTTTTTCTCTCTCCCTCCCTCTCTATCTTAAAAAAGCAATGAAAAAATGTCCTTGGGTGAAGATAAAAACAAAAATTGAATAAAAGAAAAATTTTTATTCAGGAAAGAATAAAATTGGCTATGAGAAAGATTTTAAGAAACACCCATCTTTGGCCCTGACCAGGTAGCTCAGCTGATTAGAGTGTCATCCCACCAAGACTGTGGGTTTGATCGCTGGTCAGGGCACACACAAGAATCAACCAAGGAAGGCAGAAAGTAGTGGCACAGCGAATCGATGTTTCTTTCTCTCCCCTCTTGCTCTCTCTCTAAAATCAATAAATTTTTAAAAAATATATTCATCATTAAAACAGCAGGATCAAACTGAGGGATAAACTAGGATTTTGTAGTTGGGCGCACAAAATTAATAATTTTTTAGAACTCCTTGCTTCACCAAAAACTCATCTATCTCCTAGCCCCACTGAGCTAGGAGGGCACTTGGCAAAGGGTGTTTACTCTGATAGCTTTAGTTTCACTCACTTAAGAGCTCACTAATTAATACTGTCCAGCGTACTGAGTGACAAGGGAAAGTTAATTCTGTGGCTTTTTAACAGAACTGATTTCTGAATCTAGTCTGTGCCCTAAACAGTTTTTACACTGTAATGAAATGTCATTTTTGCCCTAGCTGGTGTGGTTCAGTGGATTGAGTGCCTAAAGGGTTGCCAGTTTGATTCCCTGTTAGGGCACATGTATGGGTTGCAGGTGAGATCCCCAGTAGGGGGTGTGCAAGAGGCAACCACACATTGATGTTTCTCTTCCTCCCTTTCCCCCTCCCTTCTCCTCTCTCTAAAAGGAAACAAATAAAGTCTAAAAAAAGTATTTAAAAAAAAAGGAAATGTCATTTTTAACAGACAACCACCAAATTCTACCCTAGCAGATATTACGGTAGATTTGTGTGTAAGCATCCTTTCTAACTTCCCAAATGGAAAACTAAAAGTACATTTCCCAGACTCCTTTACAGTTAAGTTTCCCCATGTGAAATGGGGTCCAGCTCCCAGAGGCTGTGCTGGGAAATCTGGAAAGCAGAAACGAGGCGGAACTTGTCTTTCTGCTGTTCTGGCAATTAATGCTGGCAAGCACGTTTGTGGAAACATCGGGTCTCCCTGCAGCAGCACGCCAGTGTCCCAGGGCTCCATGGCTGTCAAGAGATAAGTTTGGTAGAGAGAGCCTTCACCACTTGGTGGATGCTGAGGGAGAGTTTCGGGGTAGCAATTTCTTGAACCTTGAATTGCCATGCGCAATGCCATCTGGAACTCCGCAGCACCAGGGGCTCCCTCCCCCCGGAGGGCCTGCTTGGAGCTCGGGTTCTGAGAATAATTGAAGGCCCAGCCTGGAGCCCAATGCTTCCAGCCCTTCCAGTGATTTTGTTAAGTACTCAATTCCCTTTAGTTAACAAATTAAAACACTAGAGTTGTTTCTCTTTTCTGAAACTGGGCTGAGATGACATACTAGTACATAATTTGCCTCAAAATGTAAGCAGAAGGATGAGTAGTCTATCTCTGAGCAGCAGTACTGGGCAGTGTGGTGAAGAACAGGTTCTGGAATCAGACCACCTAGGTGTAAACTCTGGCTCTGCAACCCACTAAATGGACAACATGGGATGTTAACCTCCCTGTTGCCTCAGTTTCTTCATCTGTAAAATGGGAATAGTAATAATACCTACACCTAGAGTTATGATTAAATGAGAAGATAATCTTTGTAAAGTGCTTACAACAGTATCTGCCTTACAACAAGCCCTTGATAGATGTTAGCTATTATTATAGTAATAATATTCTTTTCTATTATTAGTTATGCAGATGACTTTAAAATACTGCTTTAATGAAGCAGAAAATGTAAACATTGTAAAATTTTATTACACACATTTTTCTCGTGACCTAGAGAATGCTAACTTATACAAGGTGGACACAGAAAATATTTGACTGCTTCCATCATATTTGCATACCCAGAGAAAGTGATCCTTCCAAAACTACAGTGTACCTGACGGTATCAAAGTTCTACTCTAACTAGTTATTGCAGACCTCACCCTAAGGACAAGCCACTCTTTAGAAACTATTTTTGCCATTTTCCCATTTCAAATGTTACCTCATTAATCATGCTTTATGAACCAGGGTCTTTGTTATTCAGATTTTTTTCCAGCTTCACTGAGGTATAATTGACAATAAAATTATAAAGTACTGAAAGTGAATATCGTGGTGATTTGATATACAGTATGAATACATTGAGAGAGAATTCTTCCCACTAGTTAATGTCTATCACTTCACATATTTATCTTTTTTTGGTGAGAACACTTAAGTTCTACTCTCTTACCAAATTTCAATTACATAGTAGAGTGTTACCAATTAGTCACCCGTTATACAGATCCTCAAACCTTATTCATTGCTGAAAGTCTATGTATACCTTTTACCAACCTCTCCATATTTCCCTCCCCGACTCCAGCCACAGAAAACCACTTTTCTACTGTTTCTATGAGTTTGACTTTTAGATTCTATGTATAAATGATAACACGCAGTATCTGTCTTTCTCTAACTGATTTATTTCATTTAGCACAATGACAGGACTTCTCATGGTTGATTATTATTCATGTGTGTGTATATCTCACATTTATAGGTCGCATCATTTTTACCCATTCATTTGTTAACAGTTTGTTTTGTTATTCATATTTTTAAAATGTTATCACAGCCCTGGCTGGTGTGGTCAGTGGATTGAGTGCTGGCCTGTGAACCAAAGGGTTGCCAGTTCGGTTCCCAGTCAAAGCATATGCATGGTTTGCAGGCCGGGTCCCCATTTGGGCACGTGTGAAAGGCAACCAGTTGATGTATCTCTCACACATAGATGATTCTCCCAATCCCTTTCCCCCTCTCTAAAAATAAATAAAATCTAAAAAAAAAAAAAAGAAAGAAAAATGTTATCGCAGAGAAGTTTAAAATTTTAGTACTTAGGTTTAAAATACTATTTTAATGTAGTATTAAGAAGATTTTAGATAAAATGGCCTGGTTTACTGTGCTGAAGTGTCTTCTGATGGTGAAAAATACATTGCAGATTTTGGAATAAAGCTTCCCTCAAATATTCTGAAATTGTAAGAACCTAATGTTGCACCTTATCCATTGGTGCCAGCTGAGATGAGGAAACTGAAGCTGATACACAGGTGTTTGTTAAACTCTCGATGTTTCATATGCTGCTGAGAACCGAGGACTCAAAGCAGTGGAGACTTTCTTTTAGAATTTTCAAAGCTTTGGTCCTTAGGGAGCTATTTTTATTTTTATTTATTG